TTTTCCTTTTTTTTTTTTTTTTTTTTTTTTGGTACCGGGGATCGAACGTGGGTCCTTGCCCTTGCGAGGCAGGTGGCAGAATCACTGAGCTAAATCCCCAGCCCTGATGCTGTTCCTTTTGGTTAAGGCTTCGGGCAACTTTCCTTCTGAGAACCAGAGACTTATGCAAAGATCTCATAGAAGGAGGTGTTCTGTGACTCAATTCCAATAGCAGTGACCAAAAATAACCAGATGCTCAGGTGGAAAACTTGACGAATGGTGAAAACCTTATTGGGAAGTGGCGAAGACAGAGACACCACATGTGGCCAAGCTGTGTTTAGCTTTTAGTTTTTATTAGTACACATTTGCAGGACATGACATGCCTGGGGAGAGAGAGTTGGTCCATGGACATAACACACAGTAATTCTTTTTCCGCCCTCTTCCCTCCATTCTTCCTGCAAATATTTATGTATAAAATGATTATCATTAAGTAGAACAATATCCCACATACCCAGGTCCTACTGGATCTGCTAGATGCAGGTGAGCTCTCTATAGACTCCACCCTGATTAGCATCCTGAACTTTCTAGCTTGTCCACAAAATGTGTGACTTTTTAAAAATTAAACATAACTTTTCAGTATCAGGGCCTTCATGAGCTGCATCCCCAGCCCATTTCTAAAAAATGTAATTATTTATTTATTTTTTTATTTATTTTGGTACCAGGCATCAAACTCAGGACATTACACTTGTAAGGCAGGCGTAGTGCCACTGAGCTAAATCTCTGGCCCATTTTATTTTATCTTTTTGAGACAGGGTCTCATTAAATTTCCCTGGCTTCAGGCTCCCAGAGTGCTGGGATTTCAGGAGTGCACTGCCACATTTGGCTAAAAGTTTTCCTTTTTAGAGGAGGGGGTTTGAGACAGGGTCTCACTATGTAGTTGAGACTGACCTGGAACTCACTGTGTAGCCCAGGCTGGTTTTGAACTCACAGTGATCCTCCTGCCTCAGCCTCCTGATTACAGGCGTGCACCACCACACCCGGCTAAAAGTTTTCCGTTTTAACCAAACACAAATTATCCTGCTCCCACCTTCTCCTCCCATGCTAAAATGCAGATGAAATCCAGTATCAACATGAAGGGTCTTTGGGAAGGGACACATAGGACAGAATGGGGGGCTGATCTCATTCCCTGGGCCTTTTCGGGGGGACATTGTACCTGCTCCTTGTCTGCTCTTCCCCTGGCCTCTCTTGCTTCTTCCCCAAGGACATCCCTTCTGCTATTTGCTGAGACAGTGGTGCCAAGTCCTCTCCCTCTTGACCTCAGTTTCCTCATCTGTGAAGTGGGGATTTCTATGTGGAAATTCTTAAAGGTTCCTTCTGCCCCTTCTCCTTTGGAGGCTACAGTCCAGGGACAGAAATTCTTAACCAGACCCTATTTCTTAGAAGAGTAAAACTGAAATTGGAGGGGCCTGGGACGCGCAAGCCAGAGGTTCAGCTAGGACAGGAGGTGCCAGAAGTTTGCGTGTCTAGGCCTGGGGGTTTCACTCACTGTTTCACCTTCAGAGCCTGGACAGGCTGTGTTGGAGATGTGGTAGGAGGTAGGGGTGGCCAGGGACAGCTTAGATTTCCCCCAACCCTGGGCTGGAAGTGGGAGGCTAACTGCACCACACCTTGTCTCTTCCTGCTCGCCATCTGTCCCCACCTTACTCACCTGGCTCCCTGTGACCAGGCACTGAGGCAGGTTCAAGGAGGGACAGCAGAACAGTGACTTGGATATGAATGACCAGTCCTGGGGCCCCAGGTGCCACCAGCCGGGCTTCTGAGATGGGCAGCAGGTGAGCAGGGGGAGGGCATCTGTCTGGCAGTTCAGGTGGGTGCTCAGGGCAAGGCAGGCAGAAGCCTTGGTGCACGGAACCTTGATGCTTGGCTAAGAACTCAGAGGGACCAAATGGGACCAGGACCCTATCTTCTGCTCCCAGCCCAGTGCTCCTCCCCAAGGGACTTGGCTGTTTCAAATTCTGAGCAGCTGTCCAGGGTGGAGTTCAGGCGCAGCCTGGGTAGGAGAGGCCACTGCTGGCAGCGGTGCATGGCATGGTCTGGGCCTGGAAAGGGAACCGCGCGGTCACAGGACCCACAGCGAGAGCACCACTGTCAGAGGGTGAGTGGTGGGCATGGGATGGCGCCGTGTGGCATAGGACAGTTGGAGCTCAGCACTTGGGGCTCAGGCACAGACAGAAATGGAGGCAGGCCCTCAAGGAAGCGAGTCAATAGACCTCAGGTCCATCCAGTTCAAAGCTAGCTGCCCTGGTCTCTGTGAAGGAACCTCCTGCAGGTCCCAGGCTTTGCTCTGTGCACGGCTAAGGGTCAGTGGGGCCCCCAGGTAGTCTGTCTGTCTCTCTCCCTTTTCTTGAGATAGGCTTTTGCTATGTAGTCCAGGCTGGCTTTGAACTCACTATGTAGCCCCAGGCTGGCCTCGAACTCGCAGTGATCCTCCTGCCTCAGCCTCCCCGTGTGTGTGTGGGGGGGTGGATTTTGGGGTTACAGGTATGCTCCCCCACGCCTGGCTTTTCCCAGGTGATCTCTGAGGGTCAGGATGTAACTTTAGCTTGAGTTTGGAGCCCTGCCCTAGAGGCTGCACGGGTTGTGGCTCAGAAAGCTACCGCCAGGGTAGAAATGGCGTCTTAGTCCTGGCAGATTGGGCAGAGGCCAGAGCTGCCTCTGGGATACAGATACCCGAGTCAGCACAACCTAACACAGCCTTGTTTCTTTTATCCTGGTTACACTGGGGCGGTGGTGAAGCAGAGTCTGACTGTGTTGCCCAAGCTGGCAATGAACTTGTGACCCTCTTGTCTCAGCCTCCAAAGTGCTGGGATTACAGGCGTGCGCTGCGTGGCCAGCTTTTCCTAGTTATCGGTACAAAATTATTTAGGGGCTGGGGTGCAGCTCATTGGTACTGTGCTTGCCAAGCATGCATGAAGCCCTGGGTTTGATTCCCAGCACCACAAAAATAAAATAAAATAAAACAAATACAAAAGAAAAACACCCTAAAAATAATCTTGACTAAATCCTAAAGTGAAACCATCAGCTGGTTATTTATTGTTGCTGCTTGCACAAGTTTAAAAGCAGAAGAGCTCTGAGAGCAAGGATTAAAGAAATACAACACCTAAGTACAAATTAAGTATCCTCCCACGTGGTCTTTTTTTCAGATTCACTTTAGCTTAATAGTGCCCTCTGTACTGTAAATGAAAAATCTCTAGTCAACTGTATTAGTCTATTGTGTTTACTGTAACAAATTTTCTGACAGTGGGTAACTTTATAAAGAAAAGACATCTGTCTCTCTTTGCAGTGATAGAGATCAAACCTAGTGATACTCTACCACTGAGCTGCATCCCAGCCCTTTTTATTTTTAACAGGGCCTCACTAAGTTGCACAGGTAGGTCTAGAACTTGTGATCCTCCTGCCTCAGCCTCCCAAGTAGTTGGGATGACAACCCTGGCTACGCTTTCTTTATTTAGCTCACAGTTGAAGCAGTTTAAGGGTCCACATCCAGAAACGCTGACCTTGTTGGTTGAGTCTCATGGAGGCACAATCTGTTCTGGTTTCTTCTTGCAAAGCAACCCGAGTGCACTCACAGCCATCACCCTTGTCACCTTCCGGAGGTGCCCCTCTGAACACTGAAGTCAGATCAAGTTTTCACCCTTTTAATACCTTGCAATGGGGGCAAAACCCAGACGCGTGAAGCCTTGGGGTGCACACTCGACCGCATCCAAACCAGAGCACATCCAGCCGCCCGACAGCTCAGGAGCTCAGATGTGATCTTCAAGGCCTGTCAGAGGCCTGTGGTCCTAAGCCAGAAGCCAGAGGCGACCACTCACAGCAGCTGCACACTGAGGCCCATGGTGTCTGTGCCTAGAAGCAGCCCAGTTCCCAGGCAAAGGGCTGTTGGGCCTGGGGGTGAGGCTCTGAATCGTTTCCAAGCCCCAGGTCAAAGGTCTGGAAGTAGGACGAGGTCCCCTCCTGTCCCCTCTGTGGCTATTGCTGCTCCGGGCCAGCCGTCTTGGTGGTCACCAGCTCAGTGGAACCCAGCTCTGTGGCAGGTACAGGGACACTGTGGCTGGGTGAGGTGGTGGCCAGGTGTTCTCTGGGTTCGGGAGCTGAGGCATCAGGGGTTCCCGGCGAGGGGACATAGACATTGTCCAGGTGCTCTAGAGTGGGCAGGGCAGGGGGCCTGGAGGGTCAGGAGATCTGGCCTCCCCTGCTCCCTGTTCCATTCTGGAAGCTTCCTCCAGAGGGACAGCACCCCCCATGGGGTGGGGAGGGGTGGCCCATGACAGGCCCTCGGCACAGGAAGTGCTGAGTGCAGAGGCCTGGCAAGGGGGCTTGAGGAGGGGACAGGAGAGGGGTGGGAAGCCCATCAGACCATCCCACAGAGCCGAGACTCACCCTCGTCCCCAAAAGCCGTGCTCCCCCTAAGGACCCCACCCCAGCCCTGGGATGGCTCCCCTAGGCCAGGCGCTCCAAGTGCCCAACACAGACTCACCTTCCTGGCTTCCTTCTGGAGCTTCCAGGGTCCTGCGCTGCTGCCACCTCCAGCTCACCAGGGCCATCAGGACCAGGGCCAGGGCCAGGGCCAGGCCCAGCACCACAGGGGCCCCAAAGAGCAGCCCTGGCAGGGGCAGCCCGACCTCGGAGGCCACCACGCCCACCGACTCCTGCGGCTGCAGTGCTGTCCCAGGCACCTGGCTGCTCGCCCCTGCTGGCGGCCGAGGGGATGGGGAGGGAGGCCGGCGGGCAGAGGGGAGGAATGATGTTGGGCCGGAGGGGGGGGAAGCTGGGTGGGCAGGAGGGACA